CTCTCCTTTCTTATGATCTATTCTTTGGGGATGTGATTCATGAACAAATGATGATTCAACAATTTTGAATTATTTACCTATTTAGCTCCTAAAATTTCCCATTTACATGTATAACACTCGAATCGCTAATACTACATAAAAGAAAAATATATCACTCGTAGCTTAATGGTGAATTCAAGTAGAGTCCAGTGAAGAAACAGCTGATCATCCAAGGCGTTATTTTTGACGTAAAATCAAAGATTTGGGTGGCTTATATGCAAATGCCACAAATTGCTTTAGAGGCAATTTACATACATACCACCCAATGCTTGCCTATATGTTGACATGTACGACTTAATTCTTTCACATCACAATTACATGTAAATATGCTTGCCTATATGTTGACATATACTAATTCTTTCACATCACAATTACATGCAAATGTTATTACTTTGACTTTTAAAAAGAGAATTACACATTTATATATATATATATGTCAGATTGCATGACTGGATTATATGTCTGTTTGGGGTAGCTTATTTGGTGCGGTGGCGTTTTGAAAACGCACCTGACCTGTATGGGTCAACTGCGTTTTGGTAGCTTATGCATTTTCAAAATGCAGAAAACAGCGTTTTCATGTGGGAGTTTATTGGCAATGGTCTGACTTTTCCAAAAAAAAAATAAAAATTTGTAATAGTCACCGCACCTAGCTTATTAGCTGATTATTTTTAATCAGCTTATCAGCAGATTATTCAATAAGCTACAGCTGCCCCCAAACAAATAATTATAAGATTCGGCAAATTCCCATCGAACTCGTGATCTTTCCCGTATATCACATCATAGCAAAGTTAATCAATTTCGTTACACATCTAACCAGGAAAATATTTGTGTACGTAAGACGTACCAGCATTGCGTTATAACTGCGTTTATATGTAAGTTACATGGAAGGTATTGAGAGGTTATAACCGCGTTATAACCCATGTAACCTCTTTGTAATCTACATGTACATTCTAGTAAGTCACGTGCTTCTGTTTTCATATATTTGTAGGTTATAGTAGTTTACAGGGAGGTTATAGGGGATATAACGGGAATACAACCTCTTAATACTCTCCCTGTAACCTATTTGTAGATTACTGACGTACGCAACATTACGTATGTCTTACGTACGCAAATTTTTTCCCCAACGAGGATAGGGTATTCGGTGCAAAAAATATATTAGTGTGGTCATGAGGGACAAAATTATTAAATTGCATCAATTAAATAAGAAAAAAATATTAATTTTATTATTCAAGGTAAATCTAAAAAAAAAAAACAAAGAAGAAGGGAAAATATCAAAAGAGCTATCTTAGGCCATTATTTATATATTTTAATTACAAAAGAAAATATGGGCAGGTTATTATAAATAACATGCTAGAACATCATTAAAAACTATCACAATGCACTACGGTACGGTGCCGGTACCGCCACCACACTGCCGACCCAAATAGGCCCTAAGAGTCCTCTATAAGACTATTTTAAAGTATTCTTTCACATATTTTAAAAAGGATATCATATAAAGACGATCAATCTCTTTCTTTGTTTTATTTTTGGGTGGGGAGATGGACGTAGAATCGTTTACATGCATACCACCACATTCTAAGTTATTTACATATCTAAAGTTTAAACTTTACCCTTTACATTTATAACACCCAAATATTTTATATCATAATAAAAATATTAATATTGATTTTTAAAAAAATAAAAATAGATATTTTTAAGATGTCACATATATAAAAATAGAGGTTTAGGTGTTAGAAATGTAAATACATAGGAAAATCTACCCTTTTTTTTTGTTTAATTTTCCTGCTCCATTTAAACCAACTTTCCCCCTCCCTCCTCGTTCTGCAGAAAGAAGAGAAAATGGGCACTGTGGCTCCGTGCCCTGAGGGAGGCGGAAGCTTCTCTGCGTTATGGGCAAGCGGAGAGGACTCGATCTTCTCCAAATCTCCAAGCGAGAGAGGCGACAACGTGGAATCGGATTTGCGATGGGCAGCGCTGCAGAAGCTTCCGACCATGGACAGGGCGAGGATGGGAATTCTGAATGCTGAGGATGGGAAGCTGAAGGAGATCGATGTCAAGAACCTCAGCTATCAGGATATGAGAAAGCTGCTTGAGAGACTGGTGAAAGTTGTAGAAGCAAGCAATGAGAAGTTTCTTCTTAAGATCAAGGAAAGATTCGATAGGTATGGTCTGTGAATATAAAGCTCGAATTCGTTTTATGAGGCTTTTTTTTGTTGATTTCCAATGAAGCTTTGGTTGATTCACAGAGTTGGAATTCATTATCCAACAATCGAAGTCCGGTATGAGCTTCTAAATGTTGAGGCTCAAGTATATGTGGGGAGAAGAAACTTGCCTTCCTTTTTCAATTCAATTCTTAACACAGTTGAGGTATACCAAATGTTCATATCGGAGTTTTCGGACTACTTTAATTTAGAATGTGAGATGGATTTGTTATTCTTGGTTATGATTATTTTTTCATTGAATGTAGTTCTTAGCCAACTACCTTCATATAATTCCAAGCAAGAAGAGACCATTCACCATACTTCACGATGTTAGTGGAATCGTCAGGCCTCACAGGTATCAAAATGGCTATTGCTTTATATTTATCTAATGTGTTGCTAAGCTAAGTGTGGAATCTACAGGTTGACACTGCTTTTAGGGCCCCCGAGTTCAGGGAAGACTACATTATTCTTGGCTCTAACTGGGAAGCTAGGCTCGGATCTTAAGGTTTTGTAGTTTCTACAATAACTTTTAAGTCTAAGTTCGTAAATTTTTTATAATTCTTTGAAGCGTAAACCAATGAAAGCAAATATATTAAACAAAATTGAAGCAGGTTTCTGGAAATGTGACATATAATGGCCATACAATGGATGAGCTTGTGCCACAAAGAGCAACAGCTTATATAAGCCAGCATGATGTCCATTTGGGAGAGATGACAGTGAGAGAAACTCTTGAATTCTCTGCTAGATGTCAAGGGGTTGGCTTTCGTTTTGGTGATGAAAAATATCAAATCTGCATTATGAAAACGAAAAACTCATATACTTATATGGTTGAAGCATTTACTTAACCTGTTTATCTGTGTGTACTGCCTGCAGATATGTTAACCGAATTGCTGAGGAGGGAGAAGGCTGCAAATATCAAACCTGACTCTGATATAGATGTCTTCTTGAAGGTTAAATGAACAGTTTATTCATTATTAAATTTATTATTTCAGTCCATTTAAACAAAAATTCCTTCAGCATAGCATGAAGCTAACTTCTTGACATAAATAAAAAAAAAGTAAGTGTTAGATAGGTGCGGTGACAACGTTTCAACTTTATGACACAAATTTCAAAAAAAAAAATATAATAGTCGGAGATCTTTTAAATATAATAGTCGAAATCTTTTAAATTCATGATTTTTTCATATCTAAAATAGAGTGACGCATACTTGTATTCATGATGAACAAATTTGATTTTGAAGAAATTTGATCTTAAATAGATGAAGTTTCTCTCTCTAATTCCTTGAAACTTTCTGTATTTTCTGATGAAGAGAAATATACGGGGTGTGTTAGGTAGAGAGATGACTCATTCTCAAATTCATGCTATATTTAACCACCATCCATCAAGAGGGTTACTAACCAATAGGATTTATGATAATTTAATAAATTAATTGATTTTTATTAATAAAATCAATGATATAAGTTAGTAACGTTTATTTATTTTAGGGATTATATGAGTTACAAAAATAAATATCATAAGTTATCATAAATTATGACATAAATTATGAGTTAAGAAAATAAATAACTTAAGTTATCAAAATAAATATCATAAGTTGTCATAATTTATGACATAAGTTATGAGTTAAGAAAATTAATAACTTAAGTTATCAAAAATAAATCTCATAAGTTATTAAAATAAATGTGAGTCATAAATAAAAATATAACAGTAAGACTGAAATATTATTATGTGTCTGATTTTCTAGGCATCATCAATGGAAGGGAAAGAAACTGGTTTGATCACAGATTATATTATGAAGGTATTCTTTTTAATTTTATTGAGAAAATCACTACTTAAAAAATAAAGAAGAAAACCAGATATATGAAAATAAGAAAATATTTAGCTTTTTTTTTTTTTTGGTAACAGATTCTGGGATTGGAAAGTTGCGCTAATGTCATGGTTGGCAATGAAATGTTAAGAGGTATTTCTGGAGGAGAAAGAAAACGTGTCACCACAGGTAAATTAACTTGGGAGCCGTTTCGGTTCACTTTCTTTTATTTTTATTTTTAATTTTATTTTGTTTTGTTTATGTTTTGATTAGAAATAAAACTCATTTGATTGAAATGGTTGTGTTTAAAAAAACTCAACATGCAAAAGCTATTTTCAGTGCTTTCAAAAATAAGTTGATTTATTATTAAAAATTAGAAAATTAAAACATGTAAAAAATTCACTAAACAAATATGTTTTTTTAAAACAAAAGAAAAAATAAGAACAAAAACAGAAGATAAAATTGTCGTCAAATGAACCTTTAATTTCTCAACTCATTAAGCCATCGTTGTTATTGTGAATAGTAACGGATGCAAAATTTTATACTTAACAAATCTAAAAACAATGGCTTTATGACATAGGTGAGGTGATTGTTGGTCCAGCACAAGCATTATTCATGGATGAAATATCAACCGGACTTGATAGCTCTACAACCTTTCAGATAGTAAGGTCACTAAAACAAATTGTTAGCATTCTTGGGAGAACAATGTTGATCTCCCTGCTTCAGCCCGCTCCTGAGACTTATGAACTCTTTGACGACATAATTATCCTATCAGAAGGACATATTGTGTATCAAGGTCCACGTGAAGACGCACTTGAATTCTTTAAATTCATGGGATTTGAGTGCCCTGAGAGGAAGGGAGTTGCTGACTTCTTACAAGAAGTAAGTCCTATCAAGAACTTTGTTTTCAACTACATTTGTGTTTCTTTTCAAGCCACTCAATTGAATCTAGGGAAATTTACGTATTTAACACACAATTCTTATGTATTTAAATATCTCACGCCTAAATTTTCATATTTACATACAATAGCACTTTGTTGCTTTAAACTTATACATGAAAATGTGTATTTCACTTTTAAAAAGTGATAATAGTGTTATTTTTTATGTGATATTAAAGATTTGAGTCTTGTGTATAAGTATGAACTTTTAGGTACGAGATATATAAATACATAAGCTATTTATGTACATGCCTCTTGAATATATTATGAAAATTTATGTTTTTGTTGGTTTTAAGGTAGATGGTGTTTTCTTTGAGGTAATTTTATCTCGCTTTGAATGAGTTTGTTGAAGGTTGATTGACATAATCGTATATGATAAAACTATTAAAATTTTTAGAAAAGTTATATGGAGTTATTTCCCTTGAAATTGTATGTAAAATATGTAATGAAGAGGGAAAAGAAGAATAAGTGTATTAGGCTATTGGTAAAAGTTTTATTTTAGGAAAAAAAATAGCCATAAATTTTCCTATTAATGGTCATATGTAACTTAGGGAGATTATATTTAAAACTATATAGCATCCAAATATAAAAAGTTTCATTCAAGACTAGGCATATCTTTCGTCAATGCAGAAATTTTAAGGAAATAAATCGAGTTTTTGGCCATTAAATTTGATCACTAACCCACCAAGTGAATATAGTGTGAAGTGCTTTGAGTATGTATATGTAATTTTCACTTTAATTATTCTTCACCAATTCATTTGAAATTGAATAGGCTTCCTTTCCTTATGTATGCAAAAATATTCTTAAACCCTTTTTTTTCCTTCTAGTTCCTCTGACCTTACATTACATAAATTTGTGGGAGCTTATGGTTTAAGTTCAATAGTAAAAAAGCAAAATGCAAGAAGATGAGAAACCAAAACTTATAACTAGAGGTGTAAAAATTGACCTGGTACACCAATTTGATTGGAACTCAACACAACAAAATTGAGTTTGGATTGACGGTTAGGTTAAAATTCCTAACACATTTAATTTTTCTAGTTGGGCTGACCTACCAACCTAAAATTGACCCAAAAATGACCCGCTAACCTGAAATTGACCACAGATGGACTTCAATTTGACCTGAATAACTATTATGCTCTACGTTAAACGGGTTATACAGGTCAAGTTTAGGGTTAGTGGGTTGAAGTTGGGTTGGGTTTATATGGCTAGGTTCGGGTCAAGTTTCAGGTCGGGTCAATTTCGGTTCAGACTTGAACCTGACCCGCAAACCTATTTGAGCAACCCTTCTTATAACACCTACTTGAAGAAGTGGAAGACATCTCTTCTACAAGCATCTAAAAAACTTCGTCCTTCTTTCTCAACTTACACAACCCACACTTCTTATCTCTCCATTTTTTTGTGGTCATGGGATACAAAACCCTTCTTCTAAGTTTCTATTTATATTGATACAAAGATTGTGTTTTGCGACATCACATTTATTATAAAGTCCCACATAATATTACAAGAACTCTCAAGGTTAATAGCATATCTCACGATATCTCTCAAAGTAAATTGATATTGTACATATCTTTACATTGATACACAACTCCAAATATTTTCATTGCCTCAGGAAAAAAAAAAGGATTATTCAATGATTTCAGGATACATTCAACGTATATTTCAAAAATTTTATATGTAGAAGCTTTGCTCTGTACTTCCAATGTATACATATACATAAAGCAATTTTTTATTTTTCATGTCAGGTGACTTCCAAGAATGATCAGAAGCAGTATTGGGCACAACATGATAAACCGTATCAATATGTGCCAGTTAAGGAATTCTCAAAAAAATTTCACACATTTCATGTAGGAAAAAACCTTCGAAAAGAGCTATCTGTTCCTTTTGACAGGAACAAGAGTCACAGTGCTGCTTTAACGACCTCAAAGTTTGGTATCAGTGGAACTGAAATACTGAAAGCCTGTGCTGCAAGAGAGCTTCTTCTAATGAAAAGAAACTCCTTTGTTTATGCATTTAGAGCTTGTCAAGTAAGGCATTAGCTTAGAATTAAAACATCATTCTTTAATCCCAAAAAAATCAAATTCATGCCTCATTTCTTTGACTTTCAGATCATGGTTATGGCACTTGTCACAATGTCACTTCTCTGGAAGACCAAAATGCCTCACAGATCTATAAATGATGGACAGATTTACATTGGAGCTCTCTTTTTCTCTATTCTCACTCACTTGTTTAATGGCTTCTCTGAGCTTGCTTTAACCATTATTAAACTACCTGTCTACTTCAAGCAAAGGGACGCTCACTTCTATCCTTCATGGGCTTTTGCTTTACCAAATTGGATCTTAAATATGCCATTTTCATGCATTGAAGTTGCAATTTGGGTACTTCTCACTTACTTTACCATAGGATTTGATTCAAGTGCAGAAAGGTCAGGAATGCGCAACTTAAATAAAACTTTTGTGTTTTATTGGAGCTTTAATTTCTAGGTCTCAATATTTTTTTTTTGGTGCAGGTTTTTCAAACATTACCTTCTGCTGCTTCTTTTAAATCAAATGTCTTCTGGATTTTTTCGCTTCATAGCAGTACTTGGAAGGATTCTTGTTGTTGCGAATGTATTGGCAGCATACACGACACGACGCTGGTGATTTTAGTGTTGGGTGGATTCTTAATTTCATACGGTTCTTTTCATACTATTTAATATCTTTTAATTTCAATATTATAGTACAGATTATGTTCCAAATTAGGCATTCATCCATTTTATGTATTGCCATTTTGCTTCGAAGTATCTCCAGTTTAGTCCTGCAATTTTACAACATTAATCCTATTTTAGTCCCTCAATTATACAAAATTGATCTTAATTTAGTACTTGAGGCATCATTTTAGATTAATTTTGTAAAGTCGGGATACTAAATTAGAGAAATTTTATACTCTAAAACTAAATTTTCTACATACAAACAGTTAGGGGGATTATTTTGGAGTTTTCCTTAGTAGTGTTATAGGGAAATGCTGTGGAACAACCTAAAGGTTATTTTCATTAGTGTTATTTAACTTGAGTTAGAGATATGTTATTATTTCTAACATCCTCTAAATTTTAAGTTATGCCTCGATATAACAATCTAATCAAAAAGGATATTTTACTGTTATTTCAAAAGTTATACGCATTTTATTGATGTGCATTCTATGAAAATGCCCGTATTATACTTCATAACTGAGATGATACAATTTCAAAAAATGTGAGCTGTTTGATCATGATTCAATCATAATTAATTTGACATTTATATATATTTGTGAAGCTAATGATCAATAGATACTAGGTGCCATAAGGTTTCCCGTGTTATCATAGCAATTTCTTAATTACTCTGCCTCTTCATTTTGGCAGGGAAAGTGAAGAAATGGTGGTTATGGGGTTTTTGGGCATCACCAATAATGTACTCACAAAATGCTATTTCAGTAAATGAATTCTCAGGAAAGAGTTGGAGCCATGTAATATATTTGTCTATTAAACAAGTCATATAATCTCCTAATAGTGTGAGATATTATAGAAATTGTGTAATTAACCATGGTTCTTGAATTTGATGTAGATTTTACCTGGAACAAATGAAACACTTGGAATGGTTATCTTAAAGTCTAGAGGAATATTTCCAGAAGCAAATTGGTATTGGATTGGTGCTGGAGCTTTGCTCGGATATGGTCTCATATTCAACTTTCTTTTCATTGTTGCTCTATCTTATCTCAAATGTATGACTTTACATGATTTACATTAATCATATACTACAAATAAATCACATAATTTTCATCTGAAGTGTCTTATTTATAACCTTACAGCACTTGGGAAGGGCCAATCATTTGTAACTGAGGAGGTTTTGAGGGAGCGACAAAATAGCATATTTACAACATCTACTGTCCAATCAAGAGGTATGAACTACTCCAAAGTAAACATGTTTTGCACCACAGCCATATTACAATTATGCTTATGGAAAAATTAAAAAACTATTATGGTCTCATATAGAAAAAGAAGCTACAAGTTCAACAGAAGGAGGTGTTGAGGTTTCTGAGCCAATTTTAAAGAAAGGAATGGTGCTTCCATTTTTACCACATTGCATCACATTTGACAACATAAGTTATTCAGTGGACATTCCAAAGGTAAATTATAAATAAAAAAACTTCATAAATATGTCCATGTAAAGAAGTATACCAAACTACTATGTAAATAACTATTGATTTCAAATAATATGAAATTTTTTATAGGAAATGAGAGCACAAAGAATTGAGGATAAGTTGATGCTTCTAAATGGTGTGAGTGGTTGCTTCAGACCAGGAGTGCTTACTGCTCTAATGGGTATTAGTGGAGCAGGAAAGACTACTCTTATGGATGTACTTGCAGGCAGAAAAACCAAAGGATATATAACAGGAAGCATCACCATTTCTGGATATCCCAAGAGTCAAGAAACCTTTGCACGTGTTTCAGGATATTGTGAGCAAAATGATATCCACTCTCCAAATGTGACAGTTTATGAATCTCTTATTTACTCTGCATGGCTTCGGCTTCCCCCTGAAATTGATGCATCAACAAGAAAAGTGAGTTTAATATGTAGAAATTTGCTTATGTCATCTTCATTTCATTCATCTGAACAGTTTTTTCTTGTTTTTGGCTCATAGATGTTTGTTTATGAGGTGATGGAGCTTGTTGAGATGAGAGCATTACAAGATGCATTGGTTGGATTGCCTGGAATAAGTGGATTATCGACTGAGCAACGGAAGAGATTAACCATTGCTATTGAGCTCGTCGCAAATCCTTCAATAATATTCATGGATGAGCCAACCTCTGGGCTTGATGCTAGGTCGGCTGCTGTTGTAATGAGAACTGTTAGAAACACAGTTGACACAGGAAGGACAGTAGTGTGCACAATACACCAACCGAGTATCGAAATATTTGAATCCTTTGATGAGGCGAGTTGTCATACTTGTTGAACATGTTGTATACGGTTATTTATGAATATGCTTATGGCATAATTTTATAAAGTTCATATTTAATTTTTGAATCACAGCTTTTCCTGATGAAGTTAGGAGGTGAAGAGATATATTTTGGACCATTGGGGCACAAGTCTCATCAACTTATCAACTATTTTGAGGTAATTTTTTTTTTTAATATTTAAATGTTTGTCATCATAATTTGATGAAAATGCCTTGCACACAGCAAATGTGTTGTTTCTGGAGTTAATATTAGCTGGAGATATTCAAAATCTTTTATATTTATGCGTTTATTACTTGACTATTTAATTATCCAGAGCATCCAAGGCATCACAAAAATAACGGATAACTACAATCCTGCAACCTGGATGTTGGAAGTTGTAACATCATCACAGGAGGATGTATTAGGTGTCAATTTCAATGAAATTTACAAGAACTCTGAATTGTACAAGTAAAGCACCTGTCTAATCCTTCATTTAGTTCAAAGTGAAGCTCGTCACTAATCCATGTTTCTTAACTAATGTGTTCCAGGAAGAACAAAGCATTAATTATGGAACTAAACCAACCGTCTTTTGGATCAAGTGATTTATATTTTCCAACACAATATTCGCAGCCATTCCTAACCCAATGTATTGCATGCTTATGGAAACAAAACTTGTCATATTGGAGGAATCCTACCTATTCTGCTTTGAGATTTTTTTTCACCGTGATGATAGCCTTGATACTTGGTTCAATGTTCTGGAATCTTGGAAGTAAAAAGTAAGTTAACAAATATATTTTATCTTTGAAGATTTACATTCATACCACTCAATTCCTATGTATTTACATATATAACACCTAAACTTTAATTTTTACATACACGCCACCTTACCTATGCATGAAAAGGTGTATTTCACTTCTTAAATGTATCAACGGCGGTATTAATGTTGTGATATGAAAGCTTTTAGTGGTATAAATGTACGAAGTAAAATTTTGGTGTTAGATATGTAAATATGTAGCCATTGGGTGGCATGCACATAAAGGCCCCTTTTTTTATTAAACTTACATTAAATTGTTTATAATGATGGCTAGTAAGTTCACATATGATTTGGCTGCAGAGACACACAACAAGATTTGTTCAACGCCATGGGTTCCATGTTTGGATCTGTTTTTTTCATGGGGGCCTCATACTCTATTGCAGTACAACCAATTGTTGCTATTGAGCGCACTGTCTTCTATAGAGAAAGAGCTGCGGGAATGTACTCAGCATTTCCTTATGCTTTTGGACAAGTAAAGCCCTAATCACTTTCCTCTGCCATTTTGAACTTAGGGTACTAACATTTCTAATGTTGCAAATTTCAGATTGCAGTTGAGCTACCATATATCTTTGTTCAATCTCTAATATATTGCATTATTGTGTATTCGATGATTGGTTTTGAGTGGACAACAATGAAGTTCTTATGGTACCTCTACTTCACATTTTTCACGTTGCTATATTATACGTACTATGGCATGTTAGCTGTCGGCTTGACGCCAACCCAAACCTTCGCTTCCATTGTCTCTACTTTTTTCTTTGGAATGTGGAACCTCTTCTCAGGATTTATCATCCCCAAGATGGTATGTTCAAACAGTACCACTGCTTATTTGATTGCTTGTAATAGAAAATGTTTGGTAAAATAAAATGATTTTGCTTACAGAGTTCAAAATTAATGTAGAATTCTACTTGAACATGTAATAAAATGATAGAATATAGAAAATTTAAGCATTTTCTGAAACATTTTTTTTATCAACAAATGATCAATATCAAGATAACATGTTTCGGAAAATCATTTTGGTTTCTCTCTTTTGTTTATGAAAATTAATCATCATATTTGAGTGATTTGAGGATTTATTTTTATTTAGGGCCCCTTGGTTGATTTTGTTTCGACTTATTATGTGTGTTAAAATAAAATTACCTTACTTGAGATGTATGTGATGGATGAAAGCCATGTTGATTTCTACTTAAAATTCCTCATTTTATAAAATTTGTTTCCAACAAGCAACCAATTTTGTCATCACATTTCAATCAGTTGATGGAAGATAGTTTTTTTTTTTAATATGCTTTCTATTTATTTTATTAATTATATTTGTTGTTTTCGTTTGGTTTGCAGGCGATGCCAATTTGGTGGAGTTGGTTCTATTGGGTTTGTCCATTCTCATGGACTATATATGGATTGTTTGTGTCACAATATGGAAATGACCATAATTTGCTGGACACAAAACAGACCGTGGCAGAGTTCTTAAGTGATTACTTTGGATTTAAGCATGATTTTTTGTTAGTGGTAGCAGTTATGATAGTCTTCTTTGCAATGCTATTTGCTTTCTTATTTGGTTTTGCAATCAAAGTTCTAAATTTCCAAAGCAGATGATGTCTTTTTGTAGTGAAAAGAAAGGAATCGTGTAATAGTAACTTCAAATTTCAAAGTCATTATTATAAAATATATTCTATCAAGTTCTTTGTTTTTTTCTTTTCAAATTTTCGCTGTCTGCATGTGCTTATATATATTCATATATTCTACTGAGAATATGCAAGTTATTTTTCCCTA